ACTTTTAAAAATGATGCCAATTCACCTCTTTTGTACTTTGCAAAAGAGCTGTAGTAGCATAATTTTTCATATCCAAAACACTAAGCTATAAAAGAATATATCTATTTCATTGTCAATACAATAATAAGATGTTTCTAATCCTCAATAATTAATGCATCTTCTTGTTGATGCAGAACAATAAAAGAATCAGTACAATAAATAAAAGAATACACTATTTTTCACTGTAAATGCTTAGCTGTTCTGAAGACAATCTGCTGGAAATCCTTGTGGAAATCGCTTAGAATCAGTGCAGTAATTATAAACCATGTAATTCTTCTGCACCCATTTGAGCCTCTCTTGACTTGTGTTATCTAACTCTTCATTCAACCATGAATTGTTTGTTGAAGTTGTAGTATTGGAATTGCAAGAAGATGAAGAATTGGGAATACAAGCATTGGCATTGAAGTTTCTGTAAGAAGCACTAAAGGGTGCTTGGCTCCAATCAGTCTTGACAAGTCCTCCTCTTGTAGCCCAATCATCTGCATTCCAAAGACTCGAGTATATCCTCATTGCTTGGTTCTTAGGATATGAAACTCCCATTGATTCACTATTCTTGTATTCTCTAATCGGCGTTCCATCAACATAAAATCTGTTCAATCAAAAATAAGATTTATTCCAAAAGAATGTGTTAAATTTGAATAAAGATTGAATCTTTAACTACTTAATTACATGATGCGCTGTGGATTCCAAGTGATTGAATATGTGTGGAAATCAGCAGTAGGGTCAAACCAAAGATGAAATTGTTGCTCTCTGTTTCCTTTGCCTTGGCTAAATACATTAGTGTGGAGAGTATAAGGATCACCACTTAGATTTCCCAAGAATTCAAAATCTATCTCATCATGTGTTGCTCCTTGTGATGATAACTGCAATAAATTCCAAAACAAAAAGAGTTCAGTTTCATTTCAACTCAATAAACATGTAGCTTAAAAATTATATAAGAAAAGAAATTAAGGAAATTACATAGTAAGCTGTGACAGTGCCAGCAGAGTTTCCGGGGACAAGTTTGAGCTGCATGTCAATTTTACCAAAGAGATATTCATTCTTGGATTGAAAACCAGAGCCAGAAATTTTGTCAAGTGAGAGAGTAAGGAGGTCCCCATTGTTGAGTATCTTTGCTCTGCCATCACCCCACGTGATGTCGAATTCTTGATCGAATTTGGCCCCAATTGCAATGCCAAAAGCACTGATCATAAAACACATTACAAGTACTAACTTAGAAGAAGCCATTTTAAGATTTCAAAGTTTGTTGGATGAATTTGAATTGAATAGGTAGATGGGGTTTTATAAGGGTTTATACCAGCCCACCTCAGTCCTCAGCGTGTGGGGATAGGCATGAGGAAATAAAGAGGAAGGTTCAAAGTAAAACAGAAAGCAAGAAAAAAAGATTGAGCTGGAAACAGGATAAAAAATGATGGCATCAAAGCTAAGTGACAGCCCATATATGGTCAGTCTTTCCAAGACTCGCACTATCATTCTCATTGGAACTAGTTTTTTTTTTTTTTTTTAATTTGGTGTTCGATATTTATATCAAAGCCTTACTAAATCTGAATTCGCATTGGGAAATCCCACATTGGAGGATAAAGGCTCTGTAACAAAGGTGAGACTCAAATTTGAAATTTAATGAAGAAATACTTATCATTCCATTATAACTCTCGTTATTATTGGAACTAGTTAAACTTGTGTATTGGTCCCTTTGTTTATTCAAGTGTACCTACAGTACCGCCTTAAGGTATTTGACTAGCAAGAGGTTATATCCCGTGGCAATATTATCTGTGGACCAACCAGCTGACATTTTACAAATTTCAATTCAGATATGCATCTAATCCGGCCCGGCTGTACTCCTAATACATTCGGGTAATTTTTTTCTCCTCGATTGGCCTTCTAATTTCATTTATTTAACGTGTACACTTTCCATTGTGCATTTGCATTTTGTTCATTGATCAATATTTTACTAACCATGATCATCCATGTTCAAACAACAAAAATATTAGAAAATAGGCAAAAGTTCCCCTGCACTATATGGTATCCAGAATACTAGAAATGGTATCACCTAATGGACTTAAAAAGAAATCAAATTATTTAAAATTCAGAGCAAGTTATTTGATTCTCAGCTTGAAATATATTTGTTTTGTTAAGATCGAGAATAAATTTGAGTCAAAGTATAATGAAATATTTGGACCAAAAGTATAACAGAAGGTGGTATATTTAGACCGAAAATATAACAAGAGATATAGGACTTGTTTGGCCCCAAATAAACTTGGAAAAAAATTTGAAAACACTTGGCCAGCGGTGTTTTGCTACATAACTTGGCAAATGTATTTGTCAAGTATCTCAAGTTCCCAAATACTAGAAAAAACTATTTTTTGGGTCATGTTATAGTACTTGAGAATTTTGAAAAATTCAAAAATCACCCCCAAACTTTTATATTTTATAAAAAACTAGTGTACTTGTCCGCACTTCGCGCGGTTATAAGAAAAACTTTTTTAAAAAATTTAAATAATTAATTTTACTATTTGATAAATGTTTTAATAAATAATATAATAAAAGAGAGAAACACAAATAAAAATATGACTTTGATATTACTTATTCAGAAAAATTGCTAAAAAGAAATTTTCATACTGATAAAAAAGTTGAAAATATGAACGTTGTTAATTGACAATCTAATTATTATAGTTTCATATAAATTCAATGATTCTTATAGCAACATTATTGGTTCAATCAACAATATTAAATTTACTCAAATATAAATTACGTGACTTTCTTTTTGTATAAGTGACACAATAATAAAAATAAATAAATAAAGATACATTTGTGGTAAATCATGGTGAGTACAATAAAGATACACAAATTTTTATATTAAAAAACATGAATCAATGAAGGAGTAGTAATTGATACATTCATTTCTGTACAATAATAAGAAATAAATAAGTAGAAAATTTGTCAAAAAAATGAGAAAATAAAAAGATAAATAAGATTATTGGCCAAAGAGATGTGCTACACCACTTTTCTTTTATCTAGATATTCCTTATGTTGGTAAAGAAAGTAGATTGAGAGAGAACAACTTCACTAAATCATTTTTATCTTAAACAAATACTTTTGTATTTCAATTTCTGACCAAACAGATTGTAATAGTGATCTCTGAAAATCTCCAAAACTTGAGAACTTCTAATATTAATAATAATAAAAAAAACTAAAAATATGAAGACTACAAAGTTTCATATCAATAAACATCTTCTTCTTTTTTTATAAATTATACAATATTATAAAAATTATGAATTAACTTTATATTCTCATGTTCTATCATAATAATTATTAAAAGTTGATTTACATGACTGCAAAATTATATATACATGCTTTATTAAGTAGCATACATGTATGTGTTGGACTTTTTTTCAGCTTCTATTTTCAAAAATATCCTGACATGAAAACAAAATAAGTTAACCATACTACAACAACAACAACAACAAAATATAAAAATGAAGTTAACTAATCAAATAAAACTTTAAAAATTATTTAATTATGAGTTAAAGATAAAGGAAGGATCTTATTATCAACATAACATAACATAATGCTCCAAAAACTACAAAAAGAAGAAAAAAAATCTCTATAAACTACAAAGAGAAGCAAAGAGAAAAACTAAAAAAAAAAATTAAAAAAAAAATTGTGATTCATATTATCATGAATCAAAAATAATAATATTGAATATATAATTGCAACATAGAAAAAGTGATAACTATATTAGGCACATCAAATAGTTTTACCTTGTAAAATCGAACTGCACAAAAATATCTAACAATCTTCATTATAGATCTCTCCTGCAAAATCAGATCCATTAACCAACAAAAAAGATATAAGATGAAGAATAAGGAAAAATGTTTAAAAAAAAAATCATCACATGTATCTCAAAATAGGTTTTTATAAGTGTGATTTTTAGATGTCATAAATTTGTATATTAAATTATTTGAGGGTTATGAATATGAAAAGTTAGGAGTTATGAACATTATTAATATTTATTAAGAGAAAATTTTATGTAATTGAAGAGGTAAGAAAATAAAATAATTGAAAGAAATAAGAGAAAAATGCCAAAAAAAACCCACAAAAAAAATAAATAAGAATCAAGCCCTTAGAGAGCGCCACGTCACCGTTTTCATATCCAGCTTTATTATAATATATAGATTTCCATTATTTTGTATCTACCATATCTATCTATTACTACCAATAAATAACAAGATTACTCCTCTATCTATTAAACAACATGCTCACCAACCATATTAAACATCTCTATCTATTAAGTAACAAAGGAATGTGATATTATTTGCAGGACTACAAGGAAAGTGAAAGAGAGCCTAAGCATGACAAAGAGTTATTTAACTATAAACATGTCTCTTTGCGTAATGTAATTGAAAGAACATTTGGTGCATGGAAAAGTAGATTCAGAATACTACGTACGACAAGACATGAACAACTATGATTTAGGCATGCAAGTGAAAGTAGTAGTTGATTGTGCCGTATTAAATAATTCTTTTGCGTGAAAATCAAAACAGTGAAGAAATATTCAATGAACATAAACGTGATGATATGGTTACTGTTGAAGATGACGAACAATCGACTCAAAGTAACAATATTGTTTCACCTTCTCTGTCATCTGATCTAAAAATGAAAGCTTGTAGGGAAGAGATTGTCCGTAGAATGTGGGAAGATTATATTAAGGAATAGGTTGTTACCACCTCCTCCTGAAGAGTTCGAATTCTAATTGGAGTGACAAAATTGAGAAAAAAGAACAAATTGTTTCTAATGGATTATAATTATAACCGAATCAATGACAAGTTTGAATATGTGATTAATGTATTGTTCTTGCATATATTGTTATTTTGTTGTTGTTGATTGTTATCAATTATGTTATAAGGTTATTTTTTAATTGAACATATTCACTATAAATAGATAATATAAATTTATGGATGTTTTTAATAGTTTTTAGAACTTATGGAAATAAATCATATTTTTTGAAATAGTCAAATATTTCTAAGAAAACTTGGGGTAAACACATGGTGTAATTTCACCAAACGATCCCTTAGTAACAAAACTAAGAATTAAGATGTTTGTAATCCTCTGCTACTGGTTGGTGCAGAACAATAAAAGAATCAATATAATAGTTTTATAGATCATAAGTAAAAGAATACAAAAAATTTCACTGTAAATGCTCAGCTATTCTGAAGACAATCTTCTGGAAATCCTTGTGGAAATCGTTTAGAATCAGTGCAGTAATTATAAACCATGTAATTCTTCTGCACCCATTTGAGCCTCTCTTGACTTGTGTTATCTAACTCTTCATTCAACCATGAATTGCTTGTTGAAGTTGTAGTATTGGAATTGCAAGAAGATGGAGAACTGGGAAGACAAGCATTTGCATTGAAGTTTCTGTAAGAAGCACTAAAGGGTGCTTGGCTCCAATCAGTCTTGACAAGTCCTCCTCTTGTAGCCCAATCATCCGCATTCCAAAGACTCGAGTAAATCCTCATTGCTTGGTTCTTCGGCTATGAAACTCCCATTGATTCGCTATTCTTGTATTCTCTAATGGGCGTTCCGTCCACATAAAATCTGTTAAACCAAAAATAAGATAACCCCAAATCAAGATTTGATTTAAAAAGTCACATATTTTTGAAGAAAGATCGAATCTTTAATTACTTACATGATGCGTAGTGGATTCCAAGTGATTGAATATGTGTGGAAATCAGCAGTAGGGTCAAACCAAAGATGAAATTGTTGTTCTCTGTTTCCTTTGCCTTGGCTAAATACATTAGTATGGAGAGTATAAGGATCACCACTTAGGTTTCCCAAGAATTCAAAATCTATCTCATCATGTGTTGGTCCTTGTGATGACAACTGCAATAAATTTTAAAAAAAGAAGTTCAATTACATTTCAACTCAAAAATCATTTAAGAAAATAAGGGAATTACATAGTAGGCAGTGACGGTTCCCGCAGAATTTCCAGGGACAAGTTTGAGCTGCATGTCAATTTTACCAAAGAGATATTCATTCTTGGATTGAAAACCAGAGCCAGAGATTTTGTCAAGTGAGAGAGTTAGGAGGTCGCCATTGTTGAGTATTTTTGCTCTGCCATCACCCCATGTGATGTCGAATTCTTGATCGAACTTGGCTGCAATTGCAATGCCAAAAGCACTGATCATAAAACACATCAAAAGTATTAACTTAGAAGAAAAAGAAGAAGAAGAAGCCATGTTTAGTTCTAAAGATTTCAAACTTTAATTTGTTGGATGAATTAGAGTTGGAGTGAGGTTTTATAAGGGTTTATACCACCCCACGTCAGCAACAAAGAAGTAGCTAGAGCGTGTGGGGTTAGGCTTAAGGAAATAAAGAGGAAGGTTCAAAGTAAAACCGAAAGCAGGAAAAAAAGATTTGAGCATATATTGAGCTGGAAACAGGATTAAAAATGATGGCATCAAAGCTAAGTGACAGCCCATACATATATGGTGAGTCTTTCCAACCCTCACACTAAATCTAAATTCGCATTGAAAAATCTCAAATCGAATAGGATCTCTAACAAAAACGATTATATACCCCGGAGATTCGAATCTAAAACTTCCAATTAAAAATGAAAAAGTATTTATCACTCTACTACAACTCTCGTTGATCATTGGAACTACTTCAACTTGTGTATTGTTTCCCTTTGTTTATTCAAGTGTACCTACATTGTATTATTTCTACTAGTTGGGTTTAATTACCGCCTTAAAATATTTGTCTAGCAAGGGATTATATAGCGTGGCTATATTATCTGTGGACCAACCAGCTGGCTTTTTACAAATTTCAATTCAAGATGTGCATATAATCCCACAGTTCTACTACATTTGTGTAACTTTTGCTCCTCGATTGGCCTTTTTAATTTCATTTCTTTATCGTGTACACTTTCCAAAGTGCATTTGATTTTCGTTCATTTAATATTTATTAACCATGATTCTCCAGGCTCAAACACCAACAAGAAAATACAAGTTTCGTGTCCAGAATATTAGAAATGGTATCACTTGATGGATTTAAAAAGAAATCGAGGTATTTAAAAATGATAAGCTACAAGTATCCTTAGAATATGACCTTTTTTTTTTTTTTCCTTATGACTGAAATCTCAAAGACACGTATAAACTTAACAAGGGTCCTATTACCTCCTAAACTAATTTAAAATGGAAATAAATGCATTATAAGGCAAGTCATGAGTGAACAAAATTAAACACATGTAATTTTTTAAGTGATAACTTTATAATTAGTTAGTACACTTATTTATTGATATTAAAACTTATATATATATATATATATATATATTTACATTTCTTTCTTTGTAAAATATTTATTTTATTTTGTTTCTCACTTTAAACTTTTTATATTTTTTCTTTCATTAATTTCTTATCTTTTCACTTTTAATTATTTTTAAAATGATACTTTTTTTTTTTAAAGTATCCTTTAATTTTAACGTTTTAATTTTTTTAATGTTTAATTTGATTTCTTCACTTATTTTGCTGTCCCTTCGAAATTAACTTATCTTAAATACAAGATGTTTGAAATCAAAAGGAAAGACAAAGAAAATAGAAAGAGTAAATAAAAGAAAAAAAACCAATGAATGAAGTTAAAAAAAAGTTTAGATACAAGGAAAGAAAATATGTATTAACTTAATTTAAAAATATGATAAAGAAATAAAAATATTTTTTTAAAAAAACAAATTAAATTTTTTTAGAAAACATTTACAAACATGGCAGACGCATGTGTACAAACACAGTCAACTTGGGTGGTTGAAGGTGTCACGTCAGCATAAAAGGTGCACAAAAATACAAAAAAAATGAGTTTGGAGTGATAGAACCCTAATCAAGTTTATTTGTCTCTCCGAAATTTTGATCATAGTCTAGAAATACTTGTGGCATATCTCTATTTAAATTAAGAGTGAATTATTTGATATTATACTAAATATATGATATTTGTTTATTAAGGCATATAAATGATACAATATTTGTGAAGGAGGAAATTAGATTGGGTCAGTTTCTTACCATTTTCGATTGGGCTTTTCATTGTTTATCATGTACACTTTCCAAAGTGCATTTAATTCATTCGATGTTTATATAATTACTCCGTCTCAATTTATATGACTTACTTTTTTTTTGTCAGTCTTAAAAAGAATGACACATTTATATATTAAGTACTATCAATTTAACTACAAAATGTTTATTTTGCCCTTAATGAAATAATTTACCATCACACAAATTTATATCATTCATTTTGAACCACAAGTTTTAAAAGTCTTCCTTTCTTTTTTAAACTCTGTGTCGAGTCAAACTACCCCACATAAAATGGGACGGAAGGAGTATATAATTTAGTAATTATAACGATTTGTTTATTTGTCATAATCAATTGTAGGGTAATTACAAATGGATTATTTGATTACACAAATATTATTACATAATTAAGTATAAATAATTTGACTTTTCTCCCGCCTTCTCATCAATTTAGATAGGACTTTTAAAAATGATGCCAATTCACCTCTTTTGTACTTTGCAAAAGAGCTGTAGTAGCATAATTTTTCATATCCAAAACACTAAGCTATAAAAGAATATATCTATTTCATTGTCAATACAATAATAAGATGTTTCTAATCCTCAATATTAATGCATCTTCTGGTTGATGCAGGACAATAAAAGAATCAGTACAATAAATAAAAGAATACACTATTTTTCACTGTAAATGCTTAGCTGTTCTGAACACAATCTGCTGGAAATCGTTTAGAATCAGTGCAGTAATTATAAACCATATAATTCTTCTGCACCCATTTGAGCCTCTCTTGACTTGTGTTATCTAACTCTTCATTCAACCATGAATTGCTAGTTGAAGTTGTAGTATTGGAATTGCAAGAAGATGAAGAATTGGAAATACAAGCATTGGCATTGAAGTTTCTGTAAGAAGCACTAAAGGGTGCTTGGCTCCAATCAGTCTTGACAAGTCCTCCTCTTGTAGCCCAATCATCTGCATTCCAAAGACTTGAGTATATCCTCATTGCTTGGTTCTTCGGATATGAAACTCCCATCGATTCACTGTTCTTGTATTCTCTAATCGGTGTTCCATCCACATAGAATCTGTTCAATAAAAATAAAAAAAAGAGAACCCCAAATCAAGATTTATCCCAAAAGAATGTCTTAGACTTGAAGAAAGTTCGAATCTTTAAGTACTTACATGATGCGTTGTGGATTCCAAGTGATGGAATAGGTGTGAAAATCAGCAGTAGGATCAAACCAGAGATGAAATTGTTGTTCTCTGTTTCCTTTGCCTTGGCTAAATACATTAGTGTGAAGAGTATAAGGATCACCACTTAAATTTCCCAAGAATTCAAAATCTATCTCATCATGTGTTGGTCCTTGTGATGACAACTGCAATAAATTTCAAAAAACAAAAAGGTTCAATTTCAATGCAATTCAATAAAACGTAGCTCAAAAATCATATAAGAAATGAAATTAAGGGAATTACATAATAAGCAGTGACAGTGCCAGCAGAATTTCCGGAGACAAGTTTGAGCTGCATGTCAATTTTACCAAAGAGATATTCATTCTTGGATTGAAAACCAGAGCCAGAGATTTTGTCAAGTGAGAGAGTTAGGAGGTCCCCATTGTTGAGTATCTTTGCTCTGCCATCACCCCATGTTATCTCAAATTCTTGATCTAACGTGTTTCCAATTGCAATGCCAAAAGCACTAACCATAAAACACATTACAAGTACTAACTTAGAAGAAGAAGCCATGTTTAATTCTTAAGATTTCAAAGTTTGTTGGATGAATTAGAATTGGATAGGTAGATGGGGTTTTATAAGGGTTTATACCACCCCCACCTCACCAACAAATAAGTAGCTAGAGCGTGTGGGGTCTAAGGTTTGAGGAAATAAAGAGGAAGGTTCAAAGTAAAACAGAAAGTAAGAAAAAAAGATTGAGTGTATATTGAGCTGGAAACAGGGGAAAAAAATGATGCCATCAAAGTTATGTGACAACCCATAAATGGTAGTGTCTAGCTACATTGAAACTCGATTAAATTTGAGTTTGCATTGGAAAGTTTCATATTGGGTTAAGTATTTTCTAACAAAGGTGACTTCATACTCAAAAAGATTTGAATCTAAAATTGATGAGGGAAGATTGCTCAAGTCCATATAACGGGAGCCTAAATGGGAATGAACTTGACTCTGATATCATTTAAAGATATGTCATCTGAGTCTAACTCAACCCCAAAAACTTGCTTATAAAGGGAAGATTGCTCAAATCCATATAAAGATATCACCAGTCAATTTCCCGACCAATGAGGGAGTTTTGCCCACTTTGACATCCATTACAACCCTGGTTAGTCTCACATTATCATTTTCATTGGAACTGGTTCAACTTTAATGTATTGTTTTTTATTCAAGTGTACCTACATTGTATTAGTTGGGTGTAGAACCGCCTTAAGGTATTTGACTAGGAAGAGGTTATATCCCGTGGCTATATTATCTGTGGACCAATCAGCTGGAGCTGATCTTTTACAAATTTCAAATCAAGATGTGTATCTAATCCCACACTACTCCTACATTCGTGTAAATTTTGCACCATTTTCATTTTTCAGATTGGCCTTTTCATTTGTTTACCATGTACACTTTCCGTAGTGCATTTTGTATTTCCTTCATTCAATATTTTATCAACCATGATTCTCCATCCTCAAACAAGAACAAAATAAAAGTTTCCCTGCACTATATGGTGTCGAGAATATTAGAAATAGTATGAATTGGTGGATTTATTAAGAAAATAATGAATCATAATATTTATTAGACTGTTCAAAATTTTAAATCAAATTGAAATAATATGTTAAAAGATAAAAATTATAAACAAGTATAAGAAAAAATATACTTTTTATGTATAAAATAATTTTTAAAAATTATATATATAATGTTGAGTTGGTTTGGACTCGGACTAACTTTTTTAAGTTAAAATTAACCCAACCCAAATATGTTCAAAAAAGAATTTCCATTACCAAACCACTAGTCGGGTTTCTTTTCTCGATTTGTTGTTCCGTTTTTTCACCCCTACATTGAACTATACTCGAAATTTCAACATCACATCTAAACTTAACTGCGGTTCTATTACCTTAATAAATTATTTTAAAATAAAATAAATACACCCTAGATGCTGACATGGCGTAGAGAAACACATGTCCTTTTTTTAATTGGTCATTTTATAATGAGTTAATACACATAATTATTGACATTAAAAAT